GCCGAGCGACTTGTTGGCAGGCTGGGTGGGTAGTGTGTTTGCCATTTCGAATGCTGATGATTGGAATTTCTTGGATACTGACTTTACTGGATTCGATTTCTGAATGTCACGATGACTTGGATGAGACGAGAGGTGAGGTTGAATTTGATGAAGAAGATCAGGGACTTTCAGGGTCCTGGTTGAACGAGCTATGACGTAGGGTTCTGCTTGGCATGTTGATCTGCTTTGTCAGGTATGGTAATGTCGTACGGGTACGGATACAGATACCGCACAGTTCCTGTATCTTTCCATTTTTATATCCACAGTATTTGTCGACCTGCAATACCAGACCAGGGCCTTACTGAGCCATATTATTACCGACTTCTTGATCTTCTTGTTGCCGACCGTTACTGGTGCCGATGATGATTCCACTGCCGCAGAAACTGGGCCTTTTGATTGTCTTTTGCGTTGGCTTCTTGTGTGTGTTTGTTTTGCCCTTTGTCTTTGTCATTCCTCTTTCTTCTATTCTTGCCATTCTTTTCCTCCTTACCATGACAAACACATGTCCGGTCGCTGCTGTTCCCAACAGTGAAATGGGTTGCTGGTGATGCGCCCTAGTATTTGCTTGATCTCGGTCCTGCGCACCATATCGCTGAAACTCCTCTATACCGAGGCCGCCGATATTCCCTGGGACCTCACCTCCATCGCCAACTGGTCCATGGTAGAAGTGATGCAGCAGGTATGGTCGCGATGCGGGGAAGAGGCACTGCAAGCCACAATCAATCATGTGCCATTGCAGCTAGACTGGCAATCTTTCCCCTCACCTCGTTATTCTTTCTCTATGCGGGGCGAGTTGTGGTGGTTGAGTGCAAAATCCGAGTTCTTTTCCTGGGCTACCTCAGATATAACACGCACCTCATCTCTCCCAACAAATACGCATGAACATAGCATGGTTTCCTACGGCGGCCTCGTCTTGTCCCTCGTCGCTTTGGTGGACGCCCTTGTTGCGGAAAATGCAACCCCCAAGCGCCAGGAATCACAGCTTTTAGATAGCTACGACTTTGTCATCGTCGGTGGCGGCACAAGTGGCCTTACCGTCGCCGACCGTCTGAGTGAAGCTTTCCCCCGTAGTGCGTTCACCCTGTACACCCAGATTCTTTCCCCGATGGTACTGACGCCGACACATTTTGATATAGAAACTGTCCTTGTTGTTGAGTATGGCAAGGTCGAGTACGCTCCGGGACTCTTTGACCCGCCCACTGTCTGGATCTCACCTGCTCCGGACGCGGCGAGCACCTGGTCTTTCAACTCGCTACCCAACCCGGAGATGAACAACAAGACAGCCTCCCTCCAAGTCGGCCAGGTAGTTGGAGGGAGCAGCGCCGTCAATGGAATGTTTTTCGACCGTGCCTCGCGTTTCGACTACGACGCCTGGGCTCAGCTTCAAGGAGATGCAGGGACTTCCAAGACAAAGACCAGGTGGGATTGGCGAGGGTTATTCCCTTATTTTAAAAAGGTAGGTTCAAGTTCCGACTCAACCGCCGCCTGAGGTTGAATAAAAGACTGACTTGGTGAGAATGACGGGCTTAGAGCGTCACCTTTAGCGTACCTCCCTCGGCAATCGCCAGGAAATACAACTATACATGGGATGTTTCGGCTTATGGCGGCTCCACGCCCATCTATTCCACTTACCCCCCTTTCCAATGGGCAGATCAGCCCATTCTCTGGCATGCCTTCAAAGACATGGGTATCAAACCGGCCAAGGAGTGCGCAGCAGGCGATAAGGAAGGCATCTGCTGGGTCCCGACCTCGGAACATCCCGTCACAGCCAGGCGCTCTCACGCCGGCATTGGTCACTACAGTGCCGTGCTCCCCAGGGCCAACTACCATCTACTTACTCAACACCAAGTCACCAGGGTTATATACCCAAAAGGCCTCAAGTCCGGCCCCCCTCTCGTCGAGACCCGCTCTTTGACAAATCCCAACGGTCACATGTTCAACATCACAGCCAAAGCAGAGGTCATCTTATCAGCTGGCGCACTCCACACACCCACGATCCTACAACGAAGTGGAATCGGACCAGCATCATTCCTCCGTGCTGCCGGAATCCCCGTTGTACTCGATCTGCCCGGCGTCGGCTCTAACCTCCAAGACCACTCAGGTCCCCCTGTCACCTGGAACTACACCTCGCCTCCGCAGCTCCTACCCGCGCCGCGCAACATGCTCGACCCAGTCTTCAAACAAAACGCCACTGCTGCGTTCGACGCAGTCCCAGCATCCGGCCCATACACCTTAGCCGGCGGCAACAGCGCCATCTTCGTCTCCCTCCCCCACCTAACCTCCAAGCCCAACACGGCAGCAATCATCTCCAAGATCCGCGCCATAGCCAAGAGCCCCTCCTTAGCCGCGTCCTACCTCCCCCCCGACATCAGATCCAATCCCCCCATGATATCCGGCTACCAAGCCCAGCTCCGCACCCTAGCCAGTCTCCTAGCCAACCCGCAAGCGCCCAGTCTGGAAACACCCTGGGCAACATCCCAAGCCCCCGGAACCGCCTGGTCTTTCATCTTACACCCCCTAGGCCGCGGGACCGTACGCCTCAACCTAACAGATCATCTTGCCCAGCCCATCCTCGACTACCGCGCAGGCTCTAACCCAATAGACTTTGACATACACCTAGCCCAGCTCCGATACCTACGCCGACTAATCCGCACACCCACAATGAAAGCTTACGGGGCACAAGAGATAGGCCCCGGGGAATCCGTATCCCGCAACGACGACGCGTTGATCGAGTATATCAAGCAAAATACTTTCCTATCATTCTTACATCCGTGCTGTACGGCTGCGATGATGCCCAAGAGTCAAGGCGGGGTGGTGGATGCTGAGCTGGCGGTGCATGGGGCAAAGGGGCTGAGAGTCGTGGATATGAGTGTTACGCCGCTGATTCTGGGGGCTCATCTTAGTGCTACGGCTTATGCAGTTGGGGAGAAGGCCGCGGATGTTATTATTCAGGCTTGGAAGTAAGCGGCCGTTTGCAGTGGTCTTCGTTCTCTGCGCTTAGTGCCTTCTTTGGCGCTCTTCTATAACTCCGTAGTTTTCACGGACAATGAATGATGAAAGCCCTCATTAGGCAGTCTGTCTGGAGTAATATACCATCTTCTACCGGCCCGTTTGGTGTCAAGATGGCGTCTATAAAACCCAAGAGAGAGAATTCAACTACGCCCGGTCCCAACTTCCCACAAAGAGCATACTCCGTCAACGCCCACCATCGCTGCGCCAAACATTCAAGCATTGATTTGGCCCTCATTTCTTCAACTTGGGGAACGGGCCTTTCCATCGCTTCCGAGCAGTCTCGAACGACCCGGGAGATTTTTTCATCTCAAGAACCAAGCCAGTTTTGAGCTTCTCCATGGAATATGGAGTCTCCATCCAAGCGTTAAAAGTATACATGAAGCAGATGCGGGCCTCCTCCTCGGACCCTGGAGTGTACATTTGTGGCCCGGCGCTGAACTCTGCTGGGCCCGGGAACAAGACCATGGGGATGTAGTATTCGTTCAGTTCATTGACCTTGTGGACCAGCTTATCGACCGACTCTTCCAGGTCGTCGGCGGCTTTGCCTAGGGGACTGCCAGTCTCGAAGATGTCGGTGCCGCTGGGAATGAGATCTGGACGGCGCTCGAGAATGTCTCCCACTTGGGGTCTGATCTTTTTCAGGACTTGTTCAGTCGTGAGATCCGGCTCCTCTTCGCGGTGGTTGAAGATTTTCTTGGACGGCCCGTAAGAGGCGGATCTTGAGAAGGAGGAGAGGGGCGACGAGGAAGAGGCTGTTCATGTACTCTGTCTGGGGCTCTATCCACAGCTTGACCAGGTCCTCGAGGCTGGTCGCGTCGGCATTCTTGGTGTCGAGGTAGGGCCGGGTCATATACTCAACAACTCTTCGTCACGAACTGTGGTTGCCCACCATTTGAGGAAGTCGTAGCACTCCTGGTCGCGGCCGAGACGGATGTACGGCGCAGGGATGAGGTGGCGACAACCCTGGTGATCGGCTCTGTCGTGCTGGAGCATGCCGAGGTAGATGGCGAGGGCGTCTTCGATACCTTGCCGGCGCCAGGACCTAATCAGCGTCTCGGCGTGGATGAACCGGGCATTGAGGTAGAGGCGCTGGGGAGTGTTTCTCCAGAAGTTGCCGGGGTTGATCTCGAATTCGTTCTTGGCCCGGAGCTTGCCCTCAATGTCATCGGTCTGCTTCTTGGCATCCTTGATGGCTTTGCAGGTTCCCTTGTGAGTGGGACGGTCCTGGGCTTGGTGCTCACGGGAGCAGTAGAAGTAGGTGTTGCAGCCGGCGCAGCGGAGCAGGCCTTCAGTGGTCTTGCATGTCTCGCATTGCTTCGGGATCATGTGCGTCCAGACCTTGAGATACTCCATTGTTGACTGGGAGGCGTTGCGCCTGCTGAATGAGTTAATTACTTTGTGCGTGTGCTACGTTTGGCGCGTTGGCGAAATCGGACTTGCTTAATCTTGTCGTGGATAAACCAAGCAGTGTGAAGTTTGTGAGTGAGAGTCGTGAACTGTGAATCCGTGGAAGTCAGGAAGTTTAAAAGTTGATGTAGTGTTCGTTTGTGGACAGGGGTAAGACTTGAGCTAGCAGCTTTGACCAATCAAAGATCTTAGAATCGGTAACTACAGCTATGACATGATAGGATAATTGCAGCTGATTTTCTTTGCTTGTTCCGATGAAAACTTAAAAAGGGGTACGGGTTCAAAAAGGTTTCAACTCAGCAAACGGGCTACACGGTTTTGCCGAGGAAGTCGTGAAGTTGCTTGCTGCGAGGAAGGTATCTCGAATATAGGCATACTAATAGTTGCTGTGACATTCTCATAGTTAAACTACAACCTAGACAAAACGACAGGAAGTAAAGCATGCTCAAGGGCCCTTTAAAACCTTAGTCCACAAACCAAGCTTGGAACACCCCATTCTTGACCGACGCCATCGAAACTGATTATCATCAATTCACATGAAAGCCCGTATAGCTCAGTGGTAGAGCGCGTCACTCGTACCTGTGTGCATAATGACGAGGTCCGTCGTTCAATCCGGCGTGGGGGCATCTAATAACTTTTCTTTTTCTTCTTTTTTTTTTGGCGAAGTCTTCCGCGGCATATTGGTTCGACACGAGGACTGGGATAGACGAAAGTTGGTCGAGGAGACGATGATCTGCGTGGACGTTGGGAACACACAGAGGTCACCGTTCCGCCATGATCAACTCGCACGGGAAGGGGTTAAACCCGAAAGTAGACTGTGAATGAAACCCATCGAGCCGAGGAACTTACAAGATGTTGCATCGCCATGCAAAGGCGAGCATCACAGCTACAGTGAAGATTCCGGAGGCATATATGTATGCCGGGTACTTGACAAAAGAGGCAGCTTTTGCAAATGAAGGATCGTGTTGGCAAATTAGGTAACGAAATCTCTCTACCTCCTAAACTTGAAGAACACCGATCTTAGACCGACCACATTTCGGCGTTCCACCATCATCTTCAGAATCCAACAGCTCAGATCTCAAGCTACCCACTTTCAAGTCAACATCTGGGTCAGGATTTATGCAACCTTGGCACCGCCCGGAAGCTCGGTGAGCCCTGTTACAGAATAGAATGGTTAGCTATCCGACTAAAGACAACAAAGGGAGGGTGCATGACATACAAGTATCAGTCCCAATGTCCTCCTTGGCCATCTGGCTCTTGGTGCAGGAGTTGGCAGCCTCCCAAGACTGGAGCTTGAGCTCGGGGCAGTACTCGCTCCAGCAGTTCGTGTTGAGTGAGTCCATGGCGCGCTGGAGAGAATCGCCCTCCCAGCCAAAGAGATAATCACCGTGGGCTCCGTAGCCGGTGCTGTTTTGACACACAACTTGTTAACATACAGCTCTCAGCAAAAGAAAACGGGAGTGAAAGAAGCAGGAAGAGAACATACGGATCTCCGAAACTATAAACAAGAGGCTGCTTCCCGTTCTTGTAATATTTGGGGTCGGCAAACTGGCTAGTGTCGTACATGACCTCGTACATGACCTGAGGAATTCGGACGGGGTGGGTAGAAGGGCATTTGTCGCCCGCGAGGTTGCCACCGGACTGGTAGGCGACGTGGCTCTTGTGGTCGGGAGAGTCGAGAGACTTGCCATCCCAGCAAGACGGGAAGATGACTGTCACGCGGATACCGCCCGGGCAGGGCTTGTTGGGGAAGTAGGGGGTGTCGTTTGCGTCGCAGGGGGCTCCGTTGCCGCCCATTACGCGCTCGTTCGCGGCCAAGCACCTGTGGCAGTTGACCAGGGCGCCGGACTGCTTGGTTCGGTAGGTGGGATCGCCTGTTAGCATGCGGAAGCCCTTTTGATGACTGTGTTAGCTGACTGAGCACGAAAGGGAGGTGTGGCTTGGTGCGTACGGGCTTGAAAACGGTAGTCTTCTTGTTGGTCCCGCTAAAGGGGCGCATATAGTAGACAGTGATGCCGCCTTCTTGTTCCATCGCGGTGCCGTTGAGACGACCGTTGGCCATCTGGGGGATTCGCTTGAACGTGCCGTTCTCGGGCGATTGGAAGTAGATGCTGGCTGTCCAGTAGTTGCTGAAATCTTCGACCATCTTGCACGAGGTGCACTTGGATGTCTTTGGGGGATCGATCGTCTCGGGGTCCATCTGTCATCACAGCAAGGACAAGTTAGTCAAGACCGGCGCAGATGTGTCTGGTGGAACCAACCGTGATGTTGAAAGAGTCTCCGCCAACAATCTGGTGCATATGAGGCGTTGGGGCCATGCCTGGGTTGACAAGGGGATCGGCACGCTCAATGACTAGCTGGGAGCAGGCGAATCGAAGAAAGTCCGAGCCCTTGTTGGCGGGTACTTGTGCGGCCACATCCTGACCGGCAAGGAGGAGGGCAACGAGCTTGAGAGCCGTTGTCCACGCCATGTTGAGGGAAAGGCGAAGACTGGAGTCGGAAAATGAAGCTATCCCAAAAACTCAAAAGACACACTAAATTTGTCTCTGTTGGAGAATGAGGTGGAAAGGGTTCAGAGGCTCTCGGATTCTTTATGCCGGGTGAATGACAGACATGGGCTTGTTTATACCTGGATAAGGGGCGAGGAGTTTCCCCTCCCAAGGATAATAAGGGAGCGTCCCGCATCGTTCAGGGTTATCGAGATTAATCCGAGGTGATATTTTGAGATGGTTGTTACTTAATCTGTGACCCAAGGGTGGCGGTTAAGGCCTCTTTTCGGCACTTCAGTGGCTTCACACCCATCCAGTGCTGCTTGTCCGGGCGGGTTGAATGTTCTATAGCTTCCAGATCATTTATGTTTATAAAACAAGGTATCGCCGGCATCTCAATACAGTTAGTGATTGGCTCGCGTGGTTGGCGGCAAAAGGCAGCCGGGCTTTTGTTATCTGGGCATGGCCAAGCCGCACGTGGTCCCGTGGAGCGGCCTGCGTCCATCTACCCGGATGAAGCCGAGTGTAAATTGCATCTGCTGCGGCCGAGGTCTCGGTCCTGAGAGACCCAGGTTAATCAGTTCAATCAGTCTGCGGAACGAGGACCAGTCCATCAGCTGTTGCATGGTATCCGAGCTGTTGATACGGAGTCGGACTGATGAGCGTAAAGTACGTATGGTCGTTATCATGAGGAGATTGGATGTAACATCATGCACCAGCTTGCTTGAATTAGTCTCCAGCTTGGAGTATTAGTGGCAGTGATCAAGACACTCCATCGAGGATTGGAGGGGACACTGGGAAAGTTTTGTTGTCTTCGGACAAATGAAGGACCATGGACCAACGAAAGGGATCCACTTGTGGATAGCTCGGTGTGACTGGATTAAACTAATTGGAGTACACGGCTGGCTCAAGAAGTAGTGAGACATGAAGCTATTCCCAGGTTTGAGTCACAACAGGGTTAGGGTTCTGTGTGGTCTCCATTGGCTCAAGCATTTCGAGCTTTCACTAGCCAAGAGTTTCTTCGGGTTCCTGATACGAGTTCTCATTGTTGAAATTTGAATTGACAGTATTCCCGGAGCCGGAAATAACACCTCTCCGTCGTTACTGATGGTTGAGGCAAATCCACTCGGCATTATCCAGGCAGCAGCATTGGGAGGAATATGTTGTAAGATATCATTACCACCACCCAAGACCTTCCCTATCAGGGACAAGGGGCTCCGCTGGCTGACCGTCCAAGCCGCTAACACCTACATAAAAGGATCTCGCGACAATCCCATCGTCTGAGTCACGCCGTGTGGATATTCCAACTCAAGTACAACGACACTGGACTCTTCTCACCTTGATCATACACGATAGCCAACCAAGCTGACCATTGAACATTTCATCCCAGTTGGTCAACGAACACTCCAAGAAGCAATCGCCTTAACCGCCTTATCATGGAGGAGCCCGACTTGAACGCTCTCCTTCAGGACGGCTATACGGGCGTCAGAAAGGCTCTTGCGCGGGTCCAAAAAGAAAGAAAGCCAGCCAGCTGGATGACCACGTACCTGCTCAAAGCTATCGAGGCAGGAGAAGTACCCGCCATCACCTTCGACCGATATCTGGACGTCTGTCATCACGACTGCGAAGCAGTGAAAGCCGGCCTCGCATACACACATGACGAACTGGTCTGCACGACAGCTATCCGGCATTTAGTCAAGCTCATCCGGTCATCCACAGACTCGAACTTTGCTACAACATGGAGTGGATTAGGAGGTGCCGAAGGCCTGGCCAGGTTGATGGGAGAGATGAGCGTCAAGCACGTCAAGCTCCTTTGCCAAGGCCTAGGAAAGACTGCTTTCATTCCGGGGGCTCGAGGGGAAAGACAGCGGGCTCTTTCCAAGTTGTTCCAACTCCTCTGGGGTGACGACCAAGATGCTCAACACACCGAGTGGCATGATCCCAGGCCACTGAGACCGATATACCTCCACCTCATCAAGTCCTGCACCCCCGAGATATGTCTACAATTTGAGCCAGAAGCCCTTCAATATATCCCAAAACGAGAATACAAACAACTATTGCACGGATTCCAACCTGCCGCATACACAGATCAAATCCTCGCTGAGCTCCTCGGCCCAGTAGAGGAAGGAGCCCCACCGGCAAACCTCTTCAAAAAGCTCAATCCCATCAGGCTCTTCCTGAAATCAGCAAGGCAAAACTTCATCCTCGAGGTCTTCCGAAAAGTCATACACGCCGGTCCCACCCGGTTCGACGCTCACCCGCGAGATGTGCTTGATTTCTTTGTCGACCCTCTACTCAGCAAACGTAACCCCGAAAGAACAATGCTGCATATCTGGCATCTCATATTCCTCAGCTTCGAAAAATACCCTCACTTTGTGCACGACATGTACAGACCTCAGTGGGAGCGATACCTACATCACGCTGTATCATGGTGGAAATGGGCCAGCTCTGCAGGGGCGCTCGCAGCGAGCCTGGAGAGACTAAAACAGCTTCTGGAACTGATCCGACCAGATGAGCACGGCCTAACACTGGGCGGGATAGCGAGTATCTTGATCAGGGCCAAGGTACCTGCCCCTCGACGAAACGAGTTATTCTGCCTGATTATGCGTCACTATCGCCGGTTTGGGATCGACTTTGAGCCGCCCACCATGATCGAGGAGGATAAAGCCAAACTGAGAGCGATCAAGGACGTGAATATGTGCGAAATTTTCATTTTACTTCCACCGGATCATGCCCTCCGGCTGCTGGAGGTGTACTTGTTGCCTCAGAAACCGGCGGGATTCTTTGTCCGGCCGTTTACATACCCGCGGAGTATTTTGCGTCTGGCAGAGGGTCCTAATTCCGGGCAGGTGGATCTTGAAATCCTGCATTGCTACTTGCGGCACCAAGCATCTGGAAAGACGCAGGATGTTGAGGACTTGGCCAAAGTCAGAATGGACAAGACGAAACAGAGCCGTGACTGGGAAGGACGTGCCTTCTGGGCCAAGTCTGCGCTCTTTCTCTCCATTGCTTCTGGCGATGTGGGGGTCTACTCGAGGACGGTGGCATGGGCAGCGAGGTTTCATAAAGACCACAAGACAGTAGCTGCGCTGTATGCGAAAGATGTGCTTGGTACGAGAGAAGGGATTCGTCTTGTT